TGACTGGCATTCCAAAAACAGTTTTTCTCCCGCGGGGTCACACACAGGGCTTCTGCTGACTCAGTAGAATTTTTACTTCCACTGTAAAACAACAACAACAGCAAACCCAGCCACCCTGCATTTCAAAAGTAATTTGCCATGTAGCCTAGAGGGCTGCTATTCTGGGAAACAAACCTGAAGCCCTATTGGGCTCACAGAACTCCACAGTACTTTGGATCATGGCCAATGTCTTGCCCATTGACTCTTGAACACTGAAGACTGAAACAGCGACTCCAGAGGAGAACCCAGAAACTGAGCAGGGATATACCTCTGAGCGCCTGACAAATGCTGGAAAAGATCACAGCCGGTGAGCCCAATGAGGACACCCCAGGAATCCCCGCTATTGGTTTGTTTAAGAAAGTGTATGTTTTGTTATTTCTAAAGAAACTTAGGGTCACTAAGAAATCCAAACATCACAACAATATTAAAATAACAGTTCTCAGTCCAACCCCAGGCACAAAATCAGAATAGGACTACAAATAATTCCCTCCCCCCCCAAAAAAAGCACACAGCCATCAAAGATAAATTGGAAGAATAAAATGCCTTTTCAAACAGCCATTTTCACAGCAGCAATGAGGTTCCACAGGGCAGGTGCCACAACAGAAAAGGCTCTGACTGGTTAGTGTAGAGACAATTTAGTACCTGGGAATCGCAGTTGGCAATTTTGAAGAAAGCTGCGTCTTCCCTATCAAGGATGCTTTGGGTATGTGTTTCAGAGGAGCGGGTTAAGAATAGGTTTAAGCCGGCTCCAGTGCACTCCCGCCACTGGAGTTTGAAGATACATGCACTTGCTATTAGCCACAATTTGTCTGTATCCTGTAGTTTCTTGGGAAACACAGCTGATTGAAGTGTTTCCTCTCAAACCAGCTTCCATCCAGTTTGAAGACGTCAGCCATGGTCAAGCTGGGGTGTGTAACACTGGAGACGACTATTGTGCATGTACAGGTGACAGCTTCCTTGAAGAAGAGTTTGGGGGTGGGTTTGCAGGCTGGGGAAAACAAACAGGGAATGTGCAGGGAAGCAAACCAGGTGACCAGGTAATGGTGTGTAGAACAAGTAAAAATGTGACTTGAAATGCAGCGTTGAGCAAGGGTGACCCCTATATTCTAAGTTGCTAATGTGTACCTAGCCTTGGTCACGGAGTCCTCCGGATGTTATTGGACTACAACTCCCAGGACCCCCGACTACTGGGTATGCTGGCTGGGGCTGATGGGAGCTGGAGTTCAATAACCTCTGGTGGTCCCCAGGTTGGCTACCCATAGACTAGGTGTTGTGGCATATGGGAGCCAGTGTAGTGGTTAAGAGTGTTGGCCTAGAGTGTTAAAATCCCCTCTTATCTATGATGCTCACTGGGTGATTTTGGCCCAGTCACTATTTCTCAGCCGAATCTACTTCACAGGGTTGTTGTGAGGATAATATTTTTTCATTATTATGGAAGGTGGGATCATGTGCACTGCTTTGAGCTCCTTGGCGGGAAACTGGTACAGAACTGTAATGTAGTTATACCTTTGTAAACCAAGAAAACTTTAATAAAATATTATTTTTAAAAAGAACTGTAATGTAGTAAAATAAACTGTGATTTCAGCAGCCTACACCTAACTATGAATTGAGACCCTCTGAATTTAATGGAACTTTGCCCTTCAAGTCTGTGATCTTTGCGTATTTACCTGGATCGTGCCTCCTTGACCACAGAGAAGGATTTACTTTGCAATCAGGCTTTGTGGCCCACATGATTTTGTACCCAGGGGTAGGAAAGCAGCGCAAAGTGTTACAGGCCCTAAATATGTGATATGTTGGGGGACCTGCACCTTGATAGTGAGGCATAAGACCTGCTGTACAATCAGGGACATGGCCCAGCTAAATCCCCCCCCCCGCCCCGCCTATCGCTTCCCAGTAAATCCAAAGTCGTCATGAAACAAACCGTGGAAAGAAAAGACAGAAAGAAAGGCTGAGAGTAATCCTGCCTGCTCGGTCGGTGAGAGAGTGCCCTAATAAATGAATTAGCATCTCAGTAAGGAGATCGCTTTGGGGCTGATATTGATCAGGCCGGGCCTGTGTGTTTGCCTGGGATTGTTTGGGGGGATAATTGAGTGTCAGTCTCTGTCTGTGTCGTCTCGCTGGCGCCTGGCGCTTTCGCGTTTGCTAATTTTCACTAAATGTCTTCTCCTGGTACATCTATATCCCAACCGAGCAGTCAGGCTCCTGCTGGTCAAACCGTCCGTCTGACTAGGCTTTATTGATCATCGGGACGGGAGGAGGAGGGGCGGCGGCGGCGGCTGGAAGTGCGCAGAGGAGAAAGGGGGAAACGCTGCTGTCTCCCCGCCGGGAAAAGGGATTGATGCGCTTCTTAAACTGCCTCCCGCGATCGCCTCTTTGCAGCCCTGTCTGCAGGCTCCTAGAGCGAGCTCGCTTGCCCCAGTCTGCTTTTGTACACACACACTGCAAACATGTCCGGCTTCTAGGCTCTTAAGATTTGGGGCCGATCCCCCTTTCCTGTCTCGGCTACACCGTGCGCGCGATTTGGACCCGGGATCGGATTGCTGTGGTGCAAGTGGGTGCTAAGAGTTTATTTCCTTCCTCCTTCCTTTTAGCACCAAGTTTGGAAGAGGAATGCCTTTTTTAAAAAAGAGGGGGGAAGCACCCTTCAGAGCCCGCCCCTCCCGGATCCCCTTAAGTTCATTTGGCTTAATTACATTTCCCCCCCATGTTTGCGCTACTAATTACACCGCCGCTCAAGCCGGGGAGAAAGTGAAGCGGAGCTGCTGGCGCTGCAGGACGCATCCTACCTTCTGCCCCTTCCCGCTGCTTTGAGTGACGCGGCGCCGCCGCCTATGGGAGCCGTGCTGGAGGAGAGCGAGGGGCGGGCCGGGGGCGGGCCGAGGCGGGTCAGGCGTCGGGGCGGGAGCATTATTTACAGAGCGAGCGCGGGGCGCCCAGAGAGCGGAGCCGGGCTGGTGGCTCGTCCTGCGCGCTGAGGTGGGAGCGCCCTGGAGCGAGGCTTCGGATGCGGCTGCAGCAGGGCTCGGGGCGCGCGTGAGAGAGGCTTACGGCGCCAGGAGCCGGTCGAGGCCGAGAGCGGATCGCGCAGGGCAGCCCGCGGCGGGGTCCATGCGCTGTGCCCGGCCGGGGCATTGCCTTGCAGCGTTGCAAGGGGACGAGAGCCCTGGAGGGAGCGCGGAGACTCGACTCGGGCGGTGGCGGCGAGGCCCGTGCGGGGAGGGTTAAATGGATCGCCACTCCAGCTTCATCTTCGTGTGGCTGCAACTGGAGCTGTGCGCCATGGCCATCCTGCTAACGAAAGGTGAGTCCGGCTCGCTAGCGGGGCTCCTTCCCGATCCTGGGGGGGAGACTTTTTAAGTTCCCGGCGGTCTTGCCGGAGATCGTGTCGGTCGGTAGGCAGAAGGAAAGAGAAGGCAAAAGCCGCGCGCTGAGCACACAAAACAAACGAACAAGGCAAGCGATGGACTCGGCGTTGGTGGTGCTAACGGGACGCCGCTATTTTGACAGGGGGACAGTTCCACGGGAACGTGCAGTCCGGTCCTTCGCGCGTCTCCTCGGAAGCAAGGCGCACGGACCTGATGGTACTTATTCCCAAAGAAGAGGAAATAGGCTAACGTAAAACTAGCGCCACTTAACATACTGCAGTGTACGTGCTGTCCTGTGCATGGTTATTCAGAGGCAAGCCCCATTTGTGTTCAGTAGAAAAGCATGACTAGTATTGCACCCGAACTCAGTGGGGCTCGCTTCCAAGTCAACATGCGCAGGGCCGGATTATGGGCTCTTTTTGGCGCAAGCAGCTCCCCTCTCTAAATCCAGCCCGGTTCACGAAACCTCCCATCCTTTTGAGATGGCTTATTTAATGCATTTCGATCCTTCGGCAGCTTTCAGATTTTTCTTGCCCTAAAAAGAGCGGGGGGATCAAAACAAATACGATGAAATACTGTTTCGAAGCGTGTGTGTGTAACCTATCCTAGTCCCTGGAATGAAGACAACCCCTCGAAGAGGGAGGCGAGGGCCCGGGGTTGTTTTGCAGATCAACGTGGTGGGCTGGCGAGCGCTGGTGCGTGTTGACAACCGTACAAAGGCTTAACGTGAGGATTGTCGCCCTGGGGGAAGCCTTTGAAGAGCTGCTGCGAGGCTTCCTGTAGGGTCAGGGGGAGGGCTGCTGGAGGAGACGGGGCGGGTACTCGGGAGCACCCGGAGGCTTTCTCCCGAAGAGAGACGGGCCTTGGCTGGGCCGGGGATGCAGGAGCGCGCGACCTGCGGAAGGGGGCGCTACTGTCGTCCTCTGGGCTGGCGGCGGCGGCACCCAGGAGAGGCTCGGCCTCGCCTTCGAAGCGAAACCGAGCGGGATTTAAAACTTGCAAGGAGGCGCGTTCCAAGCTGGGGCTGATCCGTAGCAACTCCCGCCCTGGGTGGCCGGGGGTGAAGCCCGACTGCGCCCAGCCTCGCGCGTAACCCCGGCTGCGGGCCTCTTCCAATTCCCTCGCCAAAGACGCTGCAGCAGCCGCCCCTTCGGGGTTGCAGTGGCTCGCCCAGCTGCCTCCCTCCCGCTAGCCCCCCTTGCGACGCGCTCCGGAGGGACGCCGTCGGTGGCGGGTGCGCGTTGGAAGTGCTGTGCGCACGCAGCAGCCATTCCAGGGGGTTGCATTTGGGGGAGCAGCCTGGTGCGATCTCAAGCCCCGGCTTTTATTTCCTTTCCCCAGGCTGGGGCGTGAAACCTGGGGGTGACGTCGGGGCCGGCTTCGGGTGCTCGTTTGCTCTGCTAGAAGCAAGAGCGGGCTTAGCTTTCTTTTGGTGGGGTTGCCGCCCGTCGGAGGTGGCTTGGTGGGGCGGCGGCGGCGGCAGCAGCTCCCAGCCAGCGAGGCAAGCCCGGTAGCCATTTCCGCGGGGCAACTGCCCTTCCCTTGCCCGACCGGGGCTTCTCCTGCTGTTGCTCCCGCTGCTCTCCCCTCCTGCGGCTGACGAGCTCCGTGCGCCCGGCCCGGCGCGGCCTTTGAAGCGCTCTGCCAAGGCTTTGTGAGCGTGTCATGTTTCCTCCTGGGCCGAGCTTCGCAGGCCAGAACAAGCTCGCCTGTTCTTGGAAGTGGCGTTGCTTGGGTTTCCTTTCCCTTTCCCCGCCCCCCGCCAGAGCCTTGCCCCGCTTCATTGAGGGAAGTCAGACCTTAGGGGCAAGCGGTTGTCAAAATGTTTTTGTTAGCTTGTCTTTAATGAACTTCTGAACGTCTCCAGCCCACACCCACCCACTCCCTCTCCCAGCTCCAGAAAGCAGCGCTGGCCCAAGGCAAGCTTTACCTGTTTGCGGCTTTACCTGTTGATAAGGTAAAATTGGAAAGAGACCCGACTGTATGCCCTCCCTTATCCCTCGTGGCATGAGGAGAAATCCAGCCCATGCAAGTAAGGGACTTGAAAGAAGTTTGCTCCTGCAAAGCGGCAACAACCAAAATTGTGTTCAGGCTGTGTGATCCTGTGAAACAGCACTCGAATCCTTCAATTTATAGATGAGGTTTACTTCTGAGTAAACATGTGCAGGATTGGGCTGTGCACCCCTGACCTTGAGAGGTGACCCCACTAGTATGAGATGTGAACTGTTAAGCATCTTGCTGCAAATATTTGAAACTTCCTGTGTGTGTTTGTGTGTGAGCTCACACAATCCACACTCTTCTCCCTTCCTCGCCACTTTAAAGAATAAAAACTTAAACTGGGGGGAGGGAGAGGAGGGAATGGGAGAGTTGATGTCTCCCTATAATTGCCACGTTTCACAGAGAGGAGGTTAAAGGATAAGCTAGCACAGTGCTGATGTGCTACAGTATTTATTTATTTTGGAAAGAAGGGTGTAATTAACCCCAAATAACAGCCCTTGCAGCAAGCAGAGGGAAGTCTTCTGGCCCCATCAAAGAGGGGCAGAGAAGGGAGTGACTGAGAGTAATGTGCAGTTGCAGATACTGAAACTATGCGCCTGATAATGATATAATTAGGGGATCACAGACTTCTGGCTGCTGTCGACTTCAAAAGCTTTCGGAGAAGCCTGCAGTCTCTCCTGTAGCCACCTTGACTAAAAGCAGACATTTTTCTTTAATAGCTACATACAGTAACAAGAAAGAGGAGGGGAACAGAAAGGGCATTGTTCACTGTTTGAAAATACCAAATACCCTCCCTGGCCTTTTCCATAGCTCAGGAAGAAACTTTATGAATTGACAGAAATAAAAGGTTCATAGGCGCCGACTCCATGGGGCTTGAGGGGGCCCGAGCCCCCTCAAAAATTCGTTTGGGGGGCTCCGCCCCCCCCATAATCTCCGGCGCCCCTCCAGCAGAGCGCCATCGCCGCCCCTCCCCCAGCCCAAAATGCACAGGGAGGGGCGGGCTGCATGCCTCCTGCCCTCCCTCCCGAGCAAAAGCTCCACCCAATTTCCTTTGGAGCTGATTAATAGGCGCAGCACGCTCTCCCCTATTCGCTCACGAGGAGGCGGCGCCACTTTATTTGCATATTCATGAGCTTATTTATTATTCATGAGCTTTCCCGGGCCCCCCCAATATTTTTTATAAGTCCGCATCCCTGAAAAGGTTTGCCCCCCCCAAAAAAATACGATAACACAAAAATGCCATTCTCTTCTGCTGAGGGGGAGGTGGTGGAATGTGTCTCTAATTAAAATGGAGTTGTAATAACCCGATGACTAGTCCATCATGTTTTGTTTATGAGACTGTGCTTGGTCAGGAAAAGAGGATTGTATGAACGATTGAAACAAACATTTTCTCTCTTGTGATGCTCTCTTAAGACTGGAGTGGAAAGGACTAGCTTATAGATTTCCCCCTTCCCCACCCCCCAAAAAGAGTGTTTTGTGTTTATCCATAACTTGTTTCAGTGAAAGCTGCTCAGCCCTCGGACTTGACTTGCTGGACAATAGTTGCTTAAATGGCATTTGCTTTCGAAAAGGGGACTTAGGAAGTTACATGATTGGTGGCGGCGGAACAGAAGTCCTTAAAGGAAAGAGAAGCGCCTTCTGTAAATCTAAGAACATTGGACTTCTGGGCCCAACTGCTTGAAGAAGGATGTCCGGAATGCGAATGTCGCCTGCTTGGTGACATGTAACACATCCCATATTATTTTTTGAATCTTGCTCTGGTTACCTGTTTTGGTGGAGAACCTCAAGGGACTCCCAAAAATGCAAACACTTATTTCATCTCTGTGATGAAAGACTTTCAAGCAACTGAATAAGGGAAATGCTTTCTGTCAAACTAGTTCTCTGAATGTTTAAGCAAGCTTTTGAACTGCATGTATTCTTTGGCAGGCTTGGGCTTCAGATCTTGCTTCACACATTTACACAAATGAGGGGCAAGCTTGTTTACATACGGGCACTGTGTCATTTGGCTTTGATTAAGCAGTTTATTAAAATGTAATGGCATTCTAGGGAAGGCTGAACTTAAGATAGTCTGGAAGGCGAGCCCTGCAGAACTGTATGTATGTGTAAATGTGTTTGTAATTCATATCTTAAGCATAATCTGGGACATAGTATATATATATAGTGCAATATGACCTGGGTGCTAAAAATTAATCTCCAGGTACCTATGTACCTTAAATATATACGTAATAACTCTTAATTTGGCAGGAGGAAGTTATGATTTTAAGGGCTTCACTTTTTTTTTAAGGAGTAAGTGGCAGTTCTCTTGTGGCTGAATCCCACCCCCTTTTTTTTCTAAAATAAGTGCTATTCATCACTGTGGTTGTTAATACACTTCCTCCAGTAGTTTCTGAAGCTGAGAGACAGATCCAGCTTGCCTCCCAGCTTCCTTCCTTCCATTCTCTGAACTGATGGAACAGATTTGAGCTAAAACGTCAAGAAGACAGTACAGTTTCTCTGTACTGTATAGGAAAATGAATGCATTTCTGAAGAATGTAAAATGAATATGTTTTTTAAAGCACTTCCTTCAGAATTTTTTGTGGTTTCCTGTGCGTTTTTTTGTTCCATACAAACAGTAGAGGATTTTCAGTCCAAATGTTTACCCTTTTTGACCACATGATGGATTGGGGAGTGGGGGGGGGGGAGGGAGGTGGTGGAAGGAGGGTTCAATCTTGCCACCTCCCCCATTTATGAGCTTTCATATAAGTTGAAAGAGGTTGATTTTGGCAAGCAAGACACTATGATTGTAAACTAAAGATTTCCTGTTTTTTAATAAAAACTAAAAAGATATTTTGCATGAGAAGACGATGCTGTGAGAAGCCAGATGCTTGGCGCACATGGGATGTGTGACTATTGTCATTATGTCCTGTTTCGTGAGTTTCCCAGGTTTACCAATTCCTACTTTTGGAAATGAAATGCTGGGTTAGATGGACCCAACAAAGCAATCCTTGTGTTAAGAATTAACTTAAATAAAAATACACGCATGATTTTAGTACATAATTTCATAAGGTGTTGGCTAAAGCTCTTAAATACTGGCACCGTGCCAAAAGGCAGTAAACAATTCCAACCACTTTGATTAATTCTGCCAGGCGTAAATATTTGAAGTGCGCTTTTGACTTTGCTATATGCTGACGTATGCAATGTAAGTTTCGTTTTAGAGCAGAGATGGAGAACCAGTTGCAGTAGGTTCAGTTTCCATATAAGCCAAAGTCAGCATAGCCCAATGGCTGGGCATAAATGGAAGTTGTATTCCAGCAACATCTGAATGGCCACAGAGTTTTCAATCTTGGTTTATAATAACTAGTATTAAAGGTAATGTAAAGGACAAGTACCTGCAGATTTGCAAAGATGCTAAATGGGGAGTCATTGCTGCCCTAAGACCTGGAGATGAGCTGGTATGTGATAAGTGGCCAGTTTACAGATTTTTGCCTCTGGAACATTGCTTCATAAGGAATAAGCATCTACTGCTTCAGTTGCTGCAGTGGTGACTTGTTCACTGCAGCTGAATTGCTGGTGGTTCTGCAGGTGGGGCAGAGCCATCCAGCTTGCAGTTTTTGATGGGAACTCTTACAACTTTGTGCCTACTCAAGGTGCACACGGATGCTGTCTTCAGTTTTGCATACGAGGTTATGCCCCTCTCCCCAGTTCTTTGGCTAAGTAAGTTAAAGCCCACCTACACATGGCAGCTCCTCCCACGAGGTGGCAATTTCGGACGGATTCTATGCAACACCATCCTCCCCACAGGGACCCCGATTTGTCATGCCTGCTATGGGGATTTTGTACACTGTGCAGAGCAAGAGCCGGGGATGGACGAAAGGTAGATCTCTGGATGGTCTGCAGAAAATCTGGAAGGGCTTCCATGTCTCGGTGGTTTGGCAAAATTGTCAGGAAAATTATTTTTGTACCATGATTGGCCATGTCCTGTTTGCTTATATATCTCCCTGGAGATGCTTGCCTGTACAACAGGATTATTAATTGATTGCCTTTTCCCATGGCTGTGCGCAGCTCTGTTGACCAGTTCTATAGAAACCTGTGTTGGAATCCTTGATCTATAGCAGAGATAGTCATCGTGGTGCCCTCGAGATGTTTTTGGACTACAACACTCATCAGCCACAGCCAGTATAGGCACTGCACTTATCATGGATGATGGGAGGTGTAGTCCAGCAAACCTCTGGAGGGCTCCGTCTCCAAGCCTGCTTTCAAAAGAGACACTTATTTTGTTTGTTACTCACCCATCTTAATGCCAGTATTGAGGATAAAGGTAAAGGGACCCCTGACCATTAGGTCCAGTCGTGGCCGACTCTGGGGTTGCGGCGCTCATCTCGCTTTATTGGCCGAGGGAGCCGGCATACAGCTTCCGGGTCATGTGGCCAGCATGACTAAGCCGCTTCTGGCGAACCAGAGCAGCGCATGGAAACGCCGTTTACCTTCCCGCCAGAACAGTACCTATTTGTCTACTTGCACTTTGACGTACTTTCGAACTGCTAGGTGGGCAGGAGCAGGGACTGAGCAACGGGAGCTCACCCCGTCGCAGGGATTCGAACCGCCGAGCGCTACCTGCGTCCCTAGTATTGAGGATACAGGGTATCTAAATCCTTACTGATTTGCTGCGGACTAACAAGCTTGCCACTTTACTTTTGTTGCAGGTGAAATTAGATGCTACTGTGATGCTGCACACTGTGTTGCAACAGGCTATATGTGCAAATCTGAGCTCAACGCTTGCTTCTCTAGACTGCTTGACCCTCAGAACAGCCATTCCCCACTTACTCATGGCTGCTTGGACTCTCTTGCAAGCACATCAGACATCTGTCAAGCTAAACAGGCCCAAAACCACTCTGGAACTGCCATTCCTACGTTGGAGTGTTGTCACGAAGATATGTGCAACTACAGAGGGCTGTACGATGTTCTCTCTCCTTCCAGAGGGGAGCCTTCGGGTAAGTCGTGCTCTCGTCTGATACATAAGTTTGCTTGCAACAGGCAAGACCTTGTTTTGTCTGCTAATGATTTTGGTCTTTTAATACAACTAGGCACGCTGGAGTGGGAGGCATGTGGCTAGACAGATCTCTGCCAAATATCTTTGTATCTGCATTAGCATGAGACACAAAGTTTGCTCCTTTTCAAGCAGGCCTGGCATCTTGCCTGGGAAAACTTGTTCAGGGAGGGGCACTACTTTAAGAAACCTAATTGTGCCCAATTTAGTCAGGGGAAAATAAAACTATTAGAATGTGCAAATGAACTTTATGGAAGCCTGTTAAGTTTTAATGAAAACATGCACACAGCTTTTAATTTAAATCTGCTGCTTTGTTACTTCGCGTACACGAAGGTGAAATCATCAAGTCAACCAGAATAAAGTCCCAACGTCTTTTCCCACAGCCGGGTGAAGTTAGTTATTTAAAAGTATGCAAATAATTCATCTGACTCAACAAACTTTGGTGTTGCAATTTCACTTATGCCCTGCAGGTCATGGAAGTAAAATAAAAATAAATCTCTCCATCACTGGGTGTATCCATTTAATTGAATTGATGTGCCTGGTGTATTCATAACACTGAAGTTGATGTTTCCTTGCATGGAAGGCTTGTGGTCCTTGGGATGTTGGATTACAAATCCCATCAACCCCACCCAGCATGACCATTGGGCCGAGATGATGGGAGTTGTAGTCCACTGTTAGGGGAGGACACAGCTTCCCCATTCCTATAGTAAAGCTTAGCCAAATGTCCAAAATCAATACTTTGCAGGGGGTGGGGACCATCTGGCTGCTTTGTGTACATGGGGTGCTGCAATTGTTTTGTATTTGCTTCCATAATGATAGTCACTAGTACAGCAAAACCAAATGCCTGCTATGACAGTCCTTTTTTGTGTGGCTTGCTAAAGCACCTCACAACTCTTATCTTTGCAATCGTGTGAAAAGAAGAGATAGCAACTTGCCCCATGGCTCACCTTGTAAATTGCAGAGCTGAAATTTCCATGTGCTTTGGAACAAACCAGGATTTGCCTCTGCAGACACAGAGCAAATAGTTTCATTCTGGTCCTGTCTCCTTGGTGTTTGTCCCTATTCCGGATAAATGCATTGCAATATTTCATTACATTTTTTGTGTACCTAAACATGTAATACGTACAGAAGTGTAGAGCTGCTGAACTGAAAGCTGGGTTCCTCATGCCCATATATAGCACCATATTGACCTTCGTTTTTCTTTGGTGGTATGTGAACATCTAAGGCAGGGGTCAGCAACCTTTTTCAGCTGTGGGCCGGTCCACTGTCCCTCAGACCTTGTGGGGGGCCGGACTATATTTAGAAAAAAATAATGAACCAATTCCTATGTTCCACAAATAACCCAGAGATGCATTTTAAATAAAAGCACACATTCTACTCATGTAAAAACACGCTGATTCCCGGACTATCCATGGGCCAGATTTAGAATCCGGCCCCCGGGCCTTAGGTTGCCTACCCCTGACCTAAGGCCATGGAAATGCCCTCCTGTCTGGTGCACACTGGTTCCAAATACAGTGGTAATTTGTAACAAGGGTTAACACTGGTGATGTCACATTACTGCATAACCCTGGGCTGGGGTACCCGTGACCCTCTGTATGTTGCTGGATTACAACCCCTACCACCCTGGCCCTTGACCTGGGGCTGATGGGAGCTGGGAGTTCAACAATGTCTGGAGAGCAATAGGGTTTTCTGGATTCAGCGTAGCCTAAGCAAATAGCAGAGTTTCTCTAGAATTGGCAAGCTTTGGGTCGGCGCTGTGGGTTAAACCACAGAGCCTAGGACTTGCCGATCAAAAGGTCAGCGATTCAAATCACCGCGATGGGGTGAGCTCCCGTTGCTCGGTCCCTGCTCCTGCCAACCTAGCAGTTCGAAAGCACGTCAAAGTGCAAGTAGATAAATAGGTACCACTCTGGTGGGAAGGTAAACGGCGTTTCTTTGCGCTGCTCTGGTTCGCCAAAAGCGGCTTAGTCATGCTGGCCACATGACCCGGAAGCTGTAGCCAGTAAAGCGAGATGAGCGCCGCAACCCCAGAGTCGGCCACGACTGGACCTAATGGTCAGGGGTCCCTTTACCTTTTACAAGTTAGGGAGAAAAATGTAGGGGGCACCCCTCTTTGAAATGAGCAGACCTTTCCCCCTTCCATCACCTGAGAGGGTAGTCTTAAAAAGAAAGGGGCTTCCAGTTTTTGTGGTTGAAACACAGGCTTTGGCATGTGGCATGGAAGGGACCTTTCTGAACACCATCCCTCTCTCCTCTCTTGCAGGACAAGGGAGCAGATACCAGCACGAGGGCAGCAGAAACCTCATCACGAAGGTCCAGGAGCTGACCTCCTCCAAAGAACTGTGGTTCCGGGCAGCTGTCATTGCCGTCCCCATCGCTGGCGGGCTGATCCTGGTGCTCCTCATCATGCTAGCTCTGCGCATGCTCAGGAGCGAGAACAAAAGACTGCAAGACCAGCGGCAGCAGATGCTGTCCCGATTGCACTACAGCTTCCACGGGCATCATTCCAAAAAGGGACAGGTGGCCAAGCTAGACTTGGAGTGCATGGTGCCAGTCACAGGGCACGAGAACTGCTGCATGACCTGCGAGAAGATGAGGCAGCCGGACCTGGGCAGTGACAAAATACTCTCACTAGTCCACTGGGGAATGTATGGCGGGCATGGAAAGCTGGAATTTGTGTGATCACGTCGCCTTTTGGTCTTTTTCTATATATATATAAAAAACTATATTTTAAAATTTTGTTCTTTAACATTGCTAGGAAAACTTTTCCAAGGCCTTTGGGTTCTGCTGGACAGGAGCACTTTATACAGGGAAAGCCTACAGTCATTAATCGTGTTTGTTTTTTAAAAAAAAAAGAAAACAAAGGACCTCTGCAGATTGAACCTTGGATATATGTCTTCTGAAGGATCCCAAAAGTTACCTTATTTGCACAGAGTAAATACATTCAAATGTATTGTTTGCTTTAAAGTTATGAAAGCAAAAAACCGAGAAGTTGTACACACTGTTACCAGGGTTGTCTGAGCTGTAGGGAGGTGGAAATTTTGAGTTAATACTATTAAATTGTATGCAAGTTCTGATGTAAAGATTTTTAAAATATATATAATTATATATATATATATATTTGTCTGAAACCTATTTTGTGGTTTTGTGTAAGAAGCATTACCCTTCTAGTACATAACTACATAACTACATAAAGTGTTAACTGTAGAGTTTCCTTTAGTGTTTAGTCAGGTTCACGTAAGTGAACTCTGGTGTTCATCCAGGTAAATTCACATAACCTGAATTTGCTGCCTTCCCTTGCTAGCTTTTTCAATGCTTCAGTTTTCCAGACAGGAGAAAAACATATTTCATGCCCTTTTGCTCTAAAGGCAAATAACATCCTAGCTGTTTCTGATATTTGTGGTCCAGCTACAGCCTCTGTATCATGCAGATTCTAATCTTCCCCTAGGCAGCATGGAACAGAATAGTCGGCCAACTTGTGTCTTCTTGGAGTCTAAAATATTCCAGGCATATTCTGGGATCTGTTAGCAGGAAGGGCTGGGTTGTACAGTGGTTGGAGAAGGTTGAAGTTGACCTAGCTTCAAATCCCCGTTTGGTAATGAAGCTCCATGGGTGACCCTTTGGCCTGACACACTTCCACAGGTTAAAATAGGGAGCTGGGGGAAAACCAAACACCTATATGTCACCTTGAGCTCCTTGGACAAAAGGTGAGATACAAATAAATGACAATGCATGAAAGATTTATTCGGCAGACAGATGGGCAGCAGTCCTTCATGCCTCCCCCAAGTATGAATGATATAACAATGCACTAACATCATTGTGAAATATCTGTGGATGCTCCTTACAATTCTTTCAAGGTTTACCTGCCTTGATAATGTTTTGCTAGGGCAACCATTATCTGCAGGTGCGGGATTTGACTTGCTGGCCATTAATTATAACCTAGCCCTGTATGCAGAAAACTAGGAGGTCAGGGGAAATTGTTGAGCTTAGCTTTCCTGATAGTTTTGTTTCAGAGGGGATTCTCTTCTCCTCCGCACCAAATGAGGAGTGTTTTAAAAGGTGTTCTGTCTTTCCAGTGCATTGCCCAAAGTGGTACATGCTCTGACCAGTTTTCCGTCTTCATCTGACTATATGTATTCCACATGGCTCCTGCTTGCCTGTCTTGGTACTAATTCCTGCTGACTTCAGTGGGACATAGTCCCAGGTGAGCATGCACAAGACTGCTGTCTTAGACTCTCCTGCAGGTGCTGTTTCAACAGTGGTATCGGTGGAATACTAAATATGGGATGGGTTGAGGCTGCAATGGAAGAACATCAAAACAATCTTGTATCTTCTGAAAAGTAAATGGAGAAATGTACAGTGGCCTGGGGAAGTGAAGTCTCCCTCTACCAAAACTACGGCTAGCTCTGTAGAGGAGTTTTACAGTGGTACCTCGGGTTAAGTACTTAATTTGTTCTGGAGGTCCGTTCTTAACCTGAAACTGTTCTTAACCTGAAGCACCACTTTAGCTAATGGGGCCTCCCGCTGCCGCCACAAGATTTCTGTTCTCATCCTGAAGCAAAGTTCTTAACCCGAGGTAATATTTTTGGGTTAGCGGAGTCTGTAACCTGAAGCGTATGTAACCTGAAGCGTGTGTAACCCGAGGTACCACTGTACCGGATGGTAGGCCTGGCAAGCAAGAATTTTGGTTAAACAAGAGAGCTGTTTTTACTTGCTCCCGTTTGCTAATGTGGGAAGTAGCTGTGAATGGGCACGATCCAGACAATTGTGCTTGTCCCGCTGCAGTCAATGGGACTTTTAAAGCAGCACTAATGTTTGGTGTTCAGGGGGAGCCTGCCCACCCCAACTATGTTTTGCGACCATTCAGAGGTTGCGATAACCCCATGGTTTATTGCTCTTGATGTGGTATAAACCACAGACAACGCATGGTTTTTCATATCCATAAGTATAGGAAGAGATCAACCAGATTTGGGGGGGGGGGGGAATAAAGGCCAGTACCTGAAATGTCTTGGCTTACGCTTCTCTACATGTTTACTTCAGAGTAAGCTCTATTGAGAACACTGGGACTGGCTTCAGAATTACCAGAGAAGAATGGGCTGCATGTCTCTCATTTAAGGCCCTTGTTTCTGATCTCCAAGCCGCTCCCCCCCCCGCCCTTTCTCTCCAGCTTTTCTTGTGTCCTACTGATTCCAGTCTCTCCTCTTGACTCCTGCTTAACTGATTCTTTTAAAAAGCCCTCACACCACAGGGGGGTTGACCTTCCGAAATACCAAATGTGTCTGCTTTGGAAAGAGCCCTCCTCCAAAGAGCCGTAAATCTGGTTTCAATATTGGGTGATTACAGGCTGAGCAGGGAGCTTGAAAGTAACCAGCCTCCTCTGGTAGCTCAGGCACTGGGCAGGCTTATCTGGGTGGCAAATCGGGGGCTTGCTAGCTATCTTACTTCTTCCACTGTTTACAGCTGCCAAAGCCAATAAATTCAGTCCAGATTAATTCACATGTAACGAAGATCAGAATCCAACTCATGAGGCTCAGTCAGCAGCAGAAAGTCTTTGCTTTCCCTTGCTTTAGGGCAAAGAGCAAGGAAGCTCTTCTCCCCCCCCAACCTCCCCCCCACCCTTTGATTTTGCCTTGCATACTAGCCTCCTTTTAGAGGCTTCTAAAAGCAAACCTATTGGTCTCCAAAGCAGAACCCAAGCAGCAATTTTATTAGAAAGATGAATATATCCTAATTACACTAGCAAATGTGTTTTCCCCCTTATTTGTATCCTCCTCTAAAAACTTTCTCCAGAGCAACTCCCAAGTGTGTGTGTGCACGCTCACACTTTGAGAGTTTGTTTTTCACAACCAAGCCCTATATACATTTTAGGAAAAATGCATATGTATGCCACTGGACATGAAGATGCATTTGCTTTCCATTAGGTATGTGTGTAAGAGACAGACTCTATTGGAGGTGGGTAACCTTAGCCACCTAGATGTTGTCAGACTGTGGCTCTTGCCATCCCTGACCACTGGCTTTGAGTTCAGCAATATCTGGAGGGCTGCAGGTTCGCCATAGATACCGTCTGTCATCCATTCACAGACTGGCTCTTAGATGAATACTGACAAGGACTAAATAATATATTGAAAGTATGCAAATGGCCAAACAGATTTAACATGGTTTAGCTAAACATTTCAGCTTCCACCTTACTCAATAACAACTGGGATTTCAAATGAATGCTCTGGGAGCCAAGATAACACCCTTTATATATATATATAGCACATTCAGGATCAATGAATTCTAGGGAGTGGCGTGAGCAAAACAGACTTTTTTATAATAAGAAAAACCAAAGAGTAGACATAAATGAAGGGTAAGTTTCCAGATTGGGTTCATGGGCTGCTAGGATCTTGAGCCTAGACCCAAAAAGTCTCTTCCTAATATCCACAGGTTTGATGGTTGCTTGAAAGGAAATATTAGAAACATGACTCTGCCTTCCTCACTGACCGGATTTACGTATAAGATAAACAAGCTATAGCTTATTTAAAGGAAAAAACCAATGTACATTTCCAAAATAGAAGTTCAACAATTACTTTGATAAAATACATATTTTGTTGTGTGCAAATGACTTTAGATACCTATTAGGCCCATATATTACAAAAAACAGCGACAATTTGTTCTTGACAAAGGACAGCTGGACATATAAAGGGCCCCATTACCTTCATTATCTTAGGGCCTCATCAAACCTAAATCTGGCCCTGCTGACCATTAACCAGCCTGGCTATAAACTATTCCATACCAGACCTAGATCATTTGCCTGGGCAACAGTCTGAATTAGGCCTTGTGTGGCATGATCCAAAATTTTTCCTTGCGGCCTCCAGCCTGCTTGTGTCCCTCCTCCCTTTTTGCCCTCTTTGTTTTGTGGCTGGTGAGTGACTGGTCACATCCACAGCATATATCTCATGCACATTACTTTCCCGAAAGAATCCTGGGAACTAGTTTTTTAAAGGCACTAGGGAATTGTAGCTCTGTGAGGGCTATAGCATGGAATGTGGTGGTGCTGTCAGGGTAAGATTTGAGAACGGGGGGGGGGGGGAGCCATGTGTTTTAAATATATGCTGTGGGTGTGATCCCTGTCTCAGAACAGTACAGTTCCCAGCTGCATAGGTACCTATAGCTTGGCTACCTATAGCTAAGTGTTGACCCTAAAGTATTAATGAATATCCTTCCTCTTAAGCATACTAGGTAAAAGTAAAGGTACCCCTGACCGTTAGGTCCAGTCGCGGACGACTCTGGGGTTGTGGTGCTCCTCTCGCTTTACTGGCCAAGGGAGCTGGCGTTTGTCTGCAGACAGCTTCTGGGTCATGTGGTCAGCATGACTAAGCCGCTTCTGGCAAACCGGAGCAGCACATGGAAACGCCGTTTCCACCGGAGCAGTACCTATTTATCTACTTGCACTTTGACATGCTTTTGAACTGCTAGGTTGGCAAGAGCAGGGACCGAGCAACAGGAGCTCACCCCATTGCGGGGATTCGAACCGCCGACCTGATCGGCAAGCCCTAGGCTCTGTGGTTTAGACCACAGCGCCACCCCTGTACTATACTGTTATTAAGCATACTATACTGTGCTTCATAAGAGTGAGCATATAAATAGTGAAATATAAACAAATGTACAAGGCAGAAGGATTCTTTTACTGGTTAAACAAATGTTAAATTCCACAAAACTTCAAATCTTAGGCTGTGTATGCAATATACTTTCAAAGCATGTTGAAAGCAGTTTTCTTTGCAACCCAGTCAGATAAGTGGCATATTAATAAATAACAATTCTTCTTCTTCTTCTCCCCCCCCCTCAAATGTTTCTGGGCGCTGTTTTTTTAAAAGTTTTTTTATAGTTTTCCAATATACCCCCAATAACAGCCAAATTATAACAATTAATTCCCAAATTATACAATTATCAAAATGCCAGTGGCTCCCAACATGGTGGTTTGGGTGCATTTCCGATCTTAGATCCCTACGTTCTGTAATCTTAATGTCAGTTACATTTCAGTTATAATGATAATCTGTGCTTTTTTCTGGGGGTATGCAGGGGTACCCCTAAACATTTTGTGAATCTATGTTTGGCCTCATTGAGGGGCAGTATTTTAATTTGAGTAGGA